TGGGATTCCCCACTTTCCTGGGCAAAGTTTCGGACCCTGCGACCAAGAAATCCAAGCTAAGCGCCGAGCTTGCAAACGGCCGTCTTGCAATGATGGCTATCATCGGCATGTTCTTCCAAGATGGCGGCTAGTCCTGCATTTAGCTGTTTCTGGATTCTTTTTTGCTGATGAAGTGTACAAGTTGTGCCTGATTTTCACATGGAAGTGTCACCCAGGCCTGACCGGATCTGCGTGGGGTGACTGGTCTTTGTACACGGATGCTTGGCATGAACCAGTTGCACATTGCATTTGGCTGATGCGGGTAGGTGTCAGACTTGCAGCAACTTACAGATCAAGATTTGCATAGTAAGACTCGTAGCAATAGTATCGCTGTAAGAACATGTAATTAGTCACAGCAATATTGCTTGTTATACCCTAATCCGTAAGCCCCTCAAACCACTAAACCGCTAAATCATGTTGTAACACTGCTACAGTACTACTACCATGATTCCCCTAAACCCTAAACCCAAACCCTAAACCCCAAATCCTGAACCACAAACCCTAAACCCTAAACCCTAAGCCCTAAGCCCCAAACCCTAAAAATAAAACCCTACCAACTTCTTAATCCTGACCCAGGATTCGCCGCTGCGTGCTGCGGAAGAAGAGGAGAAGGCACCTCCGCCTTTCGACCCTGCTCAACAGGCCAGAGGGTTATATAGGATTATATAGGGTTATATAGGGTTATATAAAGGTTTGGGGTTTAGGGCTTAGGGCTTAGGGGTTTAGGGTTTAAGGTTTAGGGTTTAGGGTATAGGTTTAGGGATTTAGGGGATATATAGGAGTCTATATAGGGATAATGGAAAAGACAATGGAAGCTACACGTGTAATAACCTATTTCCTCCCATGTGGTTACATGAGGGTTAATATAGAAAGGAATTACATAGGGGAATATGGGGCAAAACAAGTCAAACCCGGGATTACAGTGGGGTCGAAGGATGTGTAGGTAATGACCAGGCAGTATTTTGTAGGTGTTTTATTTCTGGATGAAAATCTCGAATGTGAGAAAACCCCTAAACCCTAAACACCCTAAACCTCAAACGCTAAACCTCCTAAACCCCCTAAACCCCCTAAGCCCTAACTCCCATAAACCCTACACCCAAACTTCCAAACACAAAACCCTAAACCCCATGTAGTACAGGTGGGTGCCATGGAACCGTTGGGATTTTTCGATCCGGCTGGCTTCAGCAAGGTTGAATCTGGCCTCAGTTTTGATTTGACATGTTTACGGGGCCTGGGGTTTAGGGAGTTTAGGGTTTGGGGTTCAGGGTTTGGGAAGTGAGAATCATGAACCACTACCATTATACCCTAGGCCTTAAGTCAATTCAGGCACTGAAATGTTGAAGCATGGCTTGTTCGCACAATTGTCGGGTCTTGCATGGCACTAGGTATGCTGGTCGATCATAAGCCCCAAACCCTAAGTTAGGATGTCCTTGCCGGGGGGTGGTCCACGGGGGGTAGGTAACCTAGTAATCCCCTTTATTCTCTTTTACTCCCTAAGCTTCTCTGAGTTTCCCCGAGGCTCCCTTGTACCCTTTCCCCTTGAACCACCCCCTTTAGGATCCTATAACTAAGCCACGAACCATCCATTGCCTGCGAGACCTTGGAAACTGCTACATGGCAGGTTCGAGGAATTGGATTGTTTGGTTGCTCTTACCCAGACTCCTTAAAGGATCCAAAAAATGGAACCCCCTAATAATCCCCTAGTTTCCCCAATGTAGCAATGGGTTCATATTGGGGGGTTTCCATTTTTTGGATCCTTTAGGGGGTGTGGGTACGGTTTTTGAGAAAACTTACGATCGTAGGAACTCCGACAGCGTTCTGATGCGTCGGAAGAAGGAGTACATGTTGAGAAGCATGGAGGACCTTCGATAACCTATCTATCCCTATGTACCCCTATATGCCCCCTACATTCCCTCTAATGGTACCCCCTCAAGTGGGAGGAGATGGAGATGTTGCGCTAGGAGTCCTTGACAAGTGCTTGACAGTCTAAATTTCTTAAAGAGGGTTATATATAGGGGACGAAATAGGGGAATATAGAAGGGGTTACGAAGGGGAATACTGGGAGAATAGATACTAGCACACAAAATCGAAGCAGTTGGTCCGCCACAAAGTCTTCTGCAGTTCAGAAGTCAAGTAGTGGAGCATCTGAGGCTTCCCAATTCAAAGATGGCTGAGGAACTAGTACTGTTGGCATAGGAATTGGGGTTTCCATAGGTAGGGGGCCAGATATGGACCCCGAAGTACTTTATTCCTTATCAGTTGGACTCCCAAACAGGGACCAACCCCCTGATTCTTGGATCCCCCCCCTCATTTGTGATCACAAAGATTGGCAGCTACGATCCTGCAAGCTTTTCGTGCGCGGGGCGGGAGGGGGTCCAAAACATGTGCATCTCAAAATTTGACTAGTACAATCAAGAATACTAATTATTCATAGTATTACTAGTAGTAATAGTACCAATATAATCACCAGTGCTATTATTCATAGTTACATGATTTGGCATCACAGAACGATTAACAAATATTCATGTAGATAGCAGCTCAAGTCGCTTGAATTATAACCCCAATATAACCCTAATATAACCCCAACATAACCCCAACATAGCCCTAATATAACCCTAATATAACCCCAATATAACCCCCTCAAGTCGCTTGAGGTGACGAGGCAGGCTTCAAGAACTTGCGAGCTGCAGAGATCAAGCACGGAAGGGCCGGGAGCCAAGCTATGCAAGTCAATGTGTTAGGTAATTCGTTGTTGGCGCCATGGGCCAAATTAGCCTTATGGATTCCCATATCTCCCTACCCTCAAGGGTTTAGGGTTTAGGGTCAGCCCTAGGCCCTAAACCCTAAACCCAGAACTTTCAGCGCTTAACCCTAAACCCTATGCCCAGAACTCTAAGCGCTTAACCCTAAACCCTAAACCCAGAACTCTAAGCGCTTAACCGTAAACCTAAAACCCTAAACCCCAGACCCTAAACCCTAAACCTTAAACCCTAGATTGGAGTTATTTGAAACGCTCTCAGGTCGCCATGATGGCCGCATTAGGGGCTGTGGCGCAACACTACGTGACTTACCTGTCCAGTGGGTTGCCTTCCGTTTTTAATGGGGGGCTTAGGGGAGTTAAGGGATTTACGGATTTAGGGTTCAGGGTTCAGGGTTTAGGGTTTAGGGTATATGAAGCCCAACAGAAACCGAAAGGGTTTTTAACCTTGGAAAAAATCATATGTTCCCAGTTTCCAGTCTATTTTCCATTTACATATGCTTCTCAATTATTCCCTTATCCCTATACATCCTTACATATCTCTACCCTAGCCCCTACCTGCATCACAACCCTGAACGCATTAGAATTCTTTTTGCTAAACCGAGGTTCCCCGACAACATGGTAGTTTCCATCTTCTTTTCCATTGTTCCTACGTAACACCATTGTATACCCCAATATGCTATGGTAGTTTCCATTTTTTCTTTCATTTTCCCCATATACCACTATCCCCCCCCCCCAAAGACGGGTGTTCAGTGCCCAATCCTACTCCTAAAGACGAGGCTTTCGCGACGAGGGTTTGGGGCCCAGATTCGGAATATTTCATATAGGGGGTCGGGGGCTTTAATATTAGGGAGCGGGGAGATTTTCACGGAAAATGAAGGTTGAGAGAGATTTGGGCTTGGGGTTTATCCCTAAACCCTAAACCCCTAAACCCTAGGGTAAGAAGGTGAAGTTTCCGGGCTTCGACTCCGTCCCAGCTGGTGTGGGCGCTGTGACCACCCCTCCGGGCACCTATGGCTTTTTGGCTCTCTTCCTGGCCTCAGGTCTGAAAGGGGAAAAAAGGGTTTAGGGTTTAGGAGGTAGGGTTTAGAACCTAAACCCTAAACCCTAAAACCCAAACCTGAACCCTCAACCCCTATCCTAAAACTTTAGAAGCATCTTGAAAGGGTCCCCCCCCAAGTTTTAGACAATCCCATTCGGCTGGAAGGTGCCATGGAGCTGGGCGTGTGGACTGAGGACCCCAGCAAGGAGGCCAGGATACCGCAATAGGGCTTGGGGTTTAAGGGTTGAGGGTTTAGGGGTTCAAGGATTGAAGGGTTTAGGGAAAATCTTGGTAACCCCAAGCCGCATGACCCTAAGATGGACCCCATTCCAGGGGTCCCCAAATTTTGTTGTCCAGGCTGGCGACTTCGGCGATCCGCTGGGTCTTGGCCAGTACAACGAGGAGCTACAATTTAGGGGTTCGGGCTTAGGGTCTGGGACCCCAGGCAAATCGGGTTCCCGATCAGGGATTCTATAGGGCTTGGTTTGAGGAGTACTCAAGTGAAGGTTGTTTTGTGCAGGGGCTACTGTAGCTGCCTGAGTGGTGCTCAGGAGTTCCGCAACAAGGAGCTCAACAACGGCCGTTTCGCCATGTTCGCAGCACTTGGGATTATTTCGGCAGACCTTTTCACAGGCAAGGATGCCATGCAGCAGTTCGGCCTCTAGAAGGCCAATTGCCACATTGCTTTTAATTTCACCGGATCCATACCTCGGAGCAGGAAGTCTGCTATGTCATGCACAGCGTGCCATCCAATTTTCAGCCGGATGAGCAGCGTGCCAACGTCTGCTGGCAAAATGCCTGCTCATGCTTAAGTTGCGGAATTTGATGGATTTAATGCCTACAGCGTGTCCGGCCTTCTTGGGCAGGTACCGAACACAGACATACACAGCTGTTGCGAAGAAAGGTATCGCGATGATGAAGTTAGGATCATTTTGTAGGGTCCCGATGATAATATAGGCCCTCATGGTTAGGGCCTACTAGGGTTTAGGGTTCTGGGGGTTTAGGGTTTAGGGACTGTAATTTTGACAGCCCCTTGCGAATATCAGCGTTGCGCTTGACAACATTCGCATCTGTGTGTCCAGTTACGTCAATCCCACTTAATGACAGTACTAGCCCCTAAAATTGGAGTCAATAGGTTTAGGGTTCAGAGTTTTTAGTCTTATAATAAAGCTACAACAGTCCGTTATGATACCCATTGCTGGGTGGGGGATTGACCCAATGTGTAAGGAGGCCACCCTTTAGGTCTTCATTGCTGCCAGTGGTCCAAAGCCTCGTGATGAATGCCGAATCAGAATCGGATGGGATGCCACTTGATGCACACACACACACACACCGAGACACACACACACACACACACACAAACACGCAGTCCTCTTAATATCAAGGGGCAGCAAGTATTCAGGGCAGAACACATAGTACACGTCGCGATCAGCGAAGCAAACCGGCATCATCATGGATGCGCTGGCACTCTTGTCGGAGAATGAAGATGACGACGAAGTTGATGACGAGGAGGACACCCTAGATCCTGAACCCCAAACCCTTAACCCAAAATCCTGAACCCTAAACCTGAGGGCCGTCTCTAAGGCCGTGCAACATTGCCAAAGCCATATTCTATCTACTTAAGGGGGACTATAAACCGTCAGCCCATTGAAGCTGGAGTCAAGCCCAGATGGGCTAGGAGTATGATTAGACGGGTATATAGGGTTAGATTGTGGTTTTATACGGATAATGGAAAAAAAAGGAAACGACTATGCTGGGGTTATGCAGGGTTTAGGGTTTAAGATGTGATTTTGATCGGGATGCATATGGGAGTTTCTCAAAACAATCCTCACGCAACAAATCCTTAATGGGTACCCCACGGACCCCTTATAATCCCTGTACACTCTTAGCGCCCTTCTAGGGGCCCCCTATTAGACCCCCCATGCGAGCTAGGATTATATAGGGGGGGATTAGAGGGTTTAAGGGGGGATGCTTGGAGTTTAGACTACGCGCCAGGAAGAGCTTGCTGCTGAAGGCAATGAGCCAGAGGTCAGAAGAGGGGTTTAGGGGTTTGTGGGGTTGGGCATTGGGGAGTTTAGGGATTTAGGGTGTAGGGTGTAGGGTTTAGGGTCACTAGGCTTTGCGGGTTTAGGAGTTTAGGGGTCAGAGTTTGTTTTAATCTCCCAGCATGCACTTCATATTGCTCAGCATTCGCCACGGGTCTTGAATTCAGACCCCATAACTATCATGTGACCATAATAAGGTCGTAACTTTCCGGGTTGGGGTTGCAATCTATTTTTCTAAATTGTGTGAGTGCCCTGACACTAGAGATGATTGAGCGCTACGCATCCGTAGCTGTTTTGGATGGAGAGTTTTCTACCCTTGTTTGCCCAGGGTCTTTCATTCATTCAGTGGGGATCTTCGCACTCGTGGTTTGGGTTTGCCTGCCCTGCTCACTGCCAATCTAGCTTGGTTGTGTTGGGCTCGGTCTTTTGTTCGGGTCTGGGGGTTGGGTTCCTGCTCTGTTTGTGGGCCTTCCGTCCCCTAATCCTTAGACCCGTGCCTTCCCAAAGCGCGACATCTCCTCCTGAACCTGTGCCTGGCCGCCCGGCCCCTCATCATTTCAGGTTGCGTGCCTACTCCTTGCATGAGCCGGGAGCTCGATAGGGCAATTGCCGAGGTCCAGGTTGCGCTTGAGCGGCTTAGGGTCGCTACTCATAGCTCTGCCTCCTCCTCTGCCGACTGGGAGGTTGTGTCTGATCCTGGGATTTCTGAGGGCGATAGGGATAGGGTTCCTAGACCACCCCTTAGGGTTACCCTCTCCGACCCGGAGCCCGTGTCTTCTCGCCGCAGTGGCGCCCCAGCATCTTCCGCCTCTGTGCCTGCTCCTGAGACTCGCTCAGAGATTGCTGCATCCTTTCCTGAGTGTCCTCAGTACTGCCTCGACTTGTGCAGGGCCCTTTCTTCGCCTGTGCTCTCCGCCGAGGGCCGTGCCAAACGTGCGTGGCTTGCAGGCCGCTGGTTCAAAGCGGTTCTGGAAGGGCGTGTTGCCACTCCCAGCCCTGCTCCTGTGCTTGCTTTGCGCCCTGTGGTGTACATTGTCTTCCGGGGCCCTTCTATCAGTGTCCCTTGCCGCTTCTCCACTTTCACTGCATTCAGGCGTGCGGTCGGAAGCCTTGAGGGCTCCGATACTCTCTGCCAGAGCTTCCCTTCCATTGCTGAGGCCAAGGTTTTCTGCTACGCAGTTGGCATTCCCTTTGACACCTTGGAACAGAAATGAGGGCGGAAGAATTGAACATAGTGGAGGGGAGTCTGGGCTCCCCATGCGTGTTGAAGTGGCCTCCGGGCCCTTCTGCTCCAGACTCCCGCAGATTCCTTTGTACGCCTGTCTTTTTGAGAGTTGGAGGCCTCCTCCTGGCCTTGCCTCCCGACTTTGTCGAGGTGTTGGAGGCCAATGCCATAGCAGCGGTGACCTCTCCTCTACTTGGCCCTTATCAGCTGGCCTCCGTCCCCGCCGCCGAAGAGGACGATTCCGGGGAAGAAACTCTGGTGGGCATGGATCTGCCAGTTGTGTTGGTCGATTTGGACGAGGGCATCCTTGCGTCGATGAGCCTCCACGATCCGGTTACAGACGTGGGATCGCTGGAAACTTTCATGGCCGAGCTCCCTCACCTGTTTCCGCCGCTCGCGCTTGGATTTCTCAGGAGACCACTGCCTTGCCCTTCCTGTCTGCCCAGGAAGAGCCTCAGCACGCCACGACACCTGCTGCAGCCAAAAAGGCGGCTAGTGACAACGGCACAGCTGGCTGGCCAGGTTTCAGCTCTGGCCTGCTCGCCAGGATCGTGCCGAGAGGGAGCCTCAGCCGACTGTGGCTGCTCCCCCGGGTCGCCCTCTCTGCCTTGCCTTGCCCAGGGTCTGCCGCCTCCAGGTCGCACTGCCGTTGGCCAGAAGGACCTTCCCCTTCAGCATATGCCAGTGAGCCCGAGCCTCCCGGAGCCTTCGGGAACCCAAGAGTCCGTCCTGGTCAGGGCCGTCACTCAGCAGGGAAGCCCTCAGCATGCTGGTTTCGCATCTAGTGGCTCAGGGGGATACTTTGGACCTAGGGGGGGCCTCTTCGACATCTATAAGTGCCCGGGGCTCTACGAAGAGGGAAAAGCTTCAGCAGGAATTGGCTCAGCGCAGCTCCACTTTCTTCCTGCTTATGCTTCAGAACGCTCATCGCAAGATGTTCCCTGCCATCCCCGTGCCAAGCACTTTGGAAGAAGTTCGCAGTCAGGGTCGCCTCTCAATGGTCTCCTACGTGGAACGTTTCGGCGGGTATGCCCAGCAAAAGGAGCTTGGCTTGGTCTTGGTCCTCCTGGCCTACGTAGGGGTCGCCTTGGCCCAAGGAGATGTGAGGGGAGCACAAGAGCACTTAGCGCTTGCCATGATGAGCGTAGAGCAGGCAGCTTCCGACGGGGGAAGATGGGACCTCGCTTTCCTTCTCTCGTTGATTCAGGAGCCCTCTCCCACGCTGTACCAGCAAAGGCCAGCAACAGCCAGCTCGAGAGCTCAGCCTTTCTCCCCGCTAGTTCCCGGAAGTTTGGGGTCTGTCACCTTAGCCTATGTAAGGGAAATAGATCTGCTGGCCCAGCGGAGGAAAGATGCAGTAAACCCTGGCCGCGCCATCAAGGAGGATCCCGAGAATCCCGAAGCAAAGGCCCAGCCAAAGAAAAGGTTTCGTTACCCCCGGAAGCCGAAGTCCCAGGATCAAGAGTGAAGGCGTTGCAGGGTGCCGATTTTCTTGGAGGTTGCGAAGCCACCGTACAGCTGCCCTCGCGGTCCTCTGCTTTGCAAGAGCCTGCCTGTGTTGCCCTTGGAAGCGGCCCCTCAGCCAATGAGCCTAGCCTGCCCTCTTCGGTGCAGCCGCCTCTTGCCAATCGAAACGCTTTGCGCAGCCGAAGCTCCCCCACCTTCCGGAGCTTCCGATAAGCCCTTGTCTTTCCGGGCCTGGTCCTTAAGAGTTCACATGAAGGTGCTGCGCTCGCGTACCCCCTTCAGTGGTTTTCTCGCTTCCACTTTGCATCTTCGCTGGTGTGGGCTGCCCCCCCCCCCCCGGCTGACGTTCTTTACCCTCTGCCTGTGCCATATGCCGGGGTCTTTGATCGCGAGCCCAGCTCTGCCTCCTCGCGCCGCCGCGCCAAATGTGGCCATCAGAGGCTCCTGCATCTTGTCGTGATGGCTTTGAACTTTGTATACCACGACATGGCCTTTGTTCCTCAGCGCCTTTTGCAACGGCCCCCTAACCGGGCCCAGTCTGCTTGCCTGCGCTACCTTGGCGCTTTGGTGAGAACGTTCGGTAGTGACCAAGAGGGGGTGATCCCCTCTGGCACAGGCCGTAGAATTAATATTTTGCAAGCCCGCCTAGGTGAGCTCTCGGCCCAACTTGTTCGCCTAGGTTCCGTTGCCGACCCCTACGCTTGGGTCCCGCCGGGGGAACCTGTGCCAACCACCTCCTCTGACGAGGCTTTGCAGCCTTACCGCTCCCTTTGCACTGAGCGCCTTCTTCTTCGTGGTCGTGGCCACTGGGACCCCGAGCCTTTCTTGTCCGATGAGCTTTGGCTTGCTTTCAGAGAGCCCGCCAGCCTCAAGCTTAGTCGGATCCCGCAACCTGAAGAGTACCCCAACGTGCTCAAGGAGAGTTGGG